AGAAAGAACTCTACTTCCTCTTTTGCACACTTGTTATCACAATCTGATAAACAAGTTTACAATAGACATATATATATATATATATATATATATATATATATATATATATATATATATATATATATATATATATATATATATATATATATATATATATATATATATATATATATATATATATATATATATATATATATATATATATATATATATATATATATATATATATATATATATATATATATATATATATATATATAATTTTTTGTGTACATATGATTGTTTGATCACTTTTCATTTACTTGTGAGAGGTGACAAAATAATGCAATGTTACAGTATTTAAAAAAAATAGAGGTTAATTGATTAGCACCATAGGGGTAGTCGATTATCCTAGTTATAACATTAAAAATATGAGAAAATATGGGATGGTTAATCGATTAACTTAGCCTCCTTACCAAGGGGTTAATCGGTTAACCTAAATAGAAATATCGGGTTTTATTCAAGCAGAACCATGGTTAATCGATTAACTTGGTCTCCTTTGATATGGGGCTAATCAATTAGCCTTTTGTGGACTTAGAGAAATTCGAAGTTTAACAATGCCACTTTTGCTACTTTTGAAAAAAATGCATATAATGAGTTTTGAGTTATTTTCTTTGAGCATATAAGATTTATATCATCAAAATATATTGTACCTTAGCTTATCTTGATCGAATTCCAATTTCAATATCTTAATCAAAATAATTTCGTTAAACCACATCTTTGAACCATCCTTTCTAAGAGACTTGAAACTTGTCTTGAAACACTTAATACGTCGTTGAATCTTTTCCTTCTTATATAAATTTGTCTTCATCAAAACACATTCATAAGATACGTGTATTCACAATCTCCCCCTTATTTATGATGACAAATACTTGATGATTGTTGATTTTTTGAAGAAAAAAAAACTCCCCTAGGTTAGTTCTCTCCCCCTTAGTTCCTGAGCATTTGAAATCCTTTTGGGATGATTAAATTTTATACCTAGAGTGAAAGCTTTGCTTTACGTGTTTCTTCAAGGATTTTTCATTTTGCACTTGCTTTACGTATTTCTTGAATGCCTTGAAAGCTTCGCTTTTCTGCAAATAGTGTCCAAGAATATCTAGAAAAATCATCAAAAATAACTAAAGCATATACAATACTTTCAAAGTTTCTTATCCTAGATGGACCAAATAATTCCATGTGTAACAATTGAAGTGGCCTTGTAGTTGTTACCATATTATTTGGCTTGAAAGTTGATTTGGTTTGCTTCCCTTTTTGACATGTATCACATAATTTATCTTTCGTAAACTAATAACAAGATCGTGTTTGACTAATTTTTTTAAATGTTCCATACGAATATGGGCAATTCTCTTATGCCAAAGCCATGCATCATTATTGCTTACCACAAGACAGTTTATTTTCAAAGATAAATCATCTAAAGAAGTCATAAAAATATTATTAATTCTTTTACCCTTAACTTTTGTCTCATGAGTGACTTCATCTTCAATTATGCATTCATCTTTGGTGAAGTTTATTTTGAGACCTTTGTCACAAAGTTGGCTTATGCTTAAAAGATTGTGCTTTAATCCTTCTACATAGAGTACATAATTAATTATTGTGTAAGGTGGTAATCCAACTTTACCTATGCCAAGAATCTTTCCTCTATTTTTGTCTTCGTATGTGACATACCCATTGACCTTTAATACTAGAGATGAAAATTTGTTCTTGTCTCCAGTCATGTGCTTTGAGCAACCACTATCAAGATACCACAAATTTGCAGTGGTTTTTAAGCATACCTACAAAAATACTATGTTTATTTATGTACCCAATATGATTTGGGCCCTTGATAATTAGTTCCTTTCTTAACCCACACGTAATGGCCACTAGGAACACTAAAATTTCTTACATAGCAAGCATTAAGTGTGTGACCATTTAAACCACAATAGAAACAGTTAGGAACAACTTTGCTTCTATATCTAGGAACATAATAAATTTTCCTAACAATCCTTTGGTTTGTATGATGATGAACATTTTGCACTTTATTAACTTTCTCTTTATTGGATTGGTCACTTGCCTTGACAGAGATAGCTTTACTAGTACTTGGCTTGTCAAATTTTGAACAACCAAGTCCACTTTTATCATTGAAATATCTTTCTCTACTAAGGACGCCTTCCAATCCAATATGTCCCTTTTAATGTCTTTTAATAACTATTTTTAATTGTAAAATTTGAAAGGAAAGATAATTACAATCATTGCATGTAGCATTCTGTTTTTCTTTGTCAAAATCTTTTTGTATGGTGTCAATTTTTTCTCCAAGAGATGAAATTTGTTTCTTTTGTGTTGACATCTTTTTATACAGATTTTTACATTTATTGAGTAGTTTGTTTATTGCTTCTTGTGCATCATTATCATAAAAAAAAGTTTTTCATTACTAACCTCATCTTTTTCATCATCTGAATGATGTGATGTCATTAATGCAAGATTTGCACATTCTTCACATTCTAAATTGGATGATGAACTAACTTTATTATTATCCCATGCTATATAGGCCTTTTTGGATTTTGATTCCTTTCTCCTTTTATGACTATTTCTTAACAAATTTTGGACAAACCACCTTCATTTATCCTTGCTTTCCACATTCAAAGCAAGTGAACTTTTGAGTTGATGTAGAAGCTTCCTTCCTCTTGAAAAATTTACTCCTTTTTGCAAAGTTTAAATATTTATCATTATTGAAAACTTGCCTAACCTTTTTACAAGAAGAATGTAGTTCTCATATTCATCTCATAAGTCTTCTTCCAATTCTTTTGTTGAATCAACTTTTAAACCAATAATTTTGGATTTCTTCTCTTGAGTCTCATGCTTCTATAGTCTTCCAAGTTCAATCTCGTGCTTTTGAATTTTTCCGAATAATGTTGCAGACGTCATTTTTTATAGGCTCTTCTTTTCGATATTGCCGTCACTTTTGGTTGCCATGCCCTGGTTAAAGATCTAAGAATTTTAAGGTTAATTTAATCATTAGAAAAAGTCTTACCAAGATCCATTTAATAGTTTGTCAAGTGTGTGAATCTTTTCTACAAGTCAAGAATTGATTCTTTGGGATGCATCATGAACAATTCATACTCTTGAGACAATGTGTTCAGTTTTGATCTTTTCATTTTCGTGGTTCCTTCATGAGTGACTTCTTACGTATCCAATATTTATTTCAATGTTGTGCATTAAGAAACACGAAAGAAATCATCCATTCCAAGTTTCGATTGAAGTATGATCTTTGATTTCTTGTCAAATATTACTTTATTTTTGGCATCTTCACTCCATGAGCCTTTTACTTTTATTTGTTCTTCATTATTAATGATGGTTGTTGGAATGAATGGACCGTTCTCAATAACATGCCAAATATCATCGCTTTGTGCCACAAGATATTATTTCTTACAAATTTTCCAAAAAAATCATAGTATTCTCCAACAAAGTAAAGAGAACAGAAAAGAACTCATCCATTACAAGTGTCGATTAAAGCATGTTCTTTGCTTTCTTGTAAAATAGGACTTTCTTTTTGTCATCTTCATTCTATGAGCCTTTTACCTTTACTTTTTCTTTATCATTAATGACAATTGTTGGAATGAATGGATTGTTCTTAACAGCATCCATATATCATTGCATTGTGCCTCAAGATATGCTTTCAAACGATTTTTCCAGAATCATAGTATTATCCAACAAAGCAAGGGACTTGTTAATGCTACCACAATATCTAAAAACCGGGTATGTGGAAGTCATTCTGTAGATCTTAGGAACAAATTATCTATAACCTACTGTAATACCAAATGTAAGTACAGAGTACACCTAAATGGGGAGGGGGTAAATTAGGTGTTTAGAAATTTTAGAGAAAATTAAAAAACTTTTTGCCTTGAAATTTTACTGGTTTATGATAATGGAGTGATGATTTATTTTTCTGGCATAAGAAATAAAAGTGATATGCACAAAAATAAAAGTGATATACACAGAAATAAATGTTGAAATTAAAAAACACTGGGATATATACTAGTCCCCCTTTCCAATCAAGGGTACATCTAGTCCCCTCACATCAAGTGAGAGATTTCACTATTTCAGAATATTTCCTATAGTTAACATTAGACTCTCTTATAAAATTCTAAAACAAGTAAGAAATCACCCCCACTTTCTATACTTTTACAATCTAAGATAATGAAATCTACTTCCTCTTTTACACACTTGTTCTCACAACCTGATAAACAAGTTTACAACAGACAGATACAAATGAAATAATATTTGTGTATAAATGATTGTTTGATCACTTTTCAAACACTTGTAAAAATATTCTTCCCTTTCCTGAAACAATATGATCAAATGATATGTATACTTAAGTGCTCAAAGAAGAGAATGAAATTTTTTATCTAATATAAAAATTATGTTGTAGAAAAGGTTTCTAAGAAAGTTTTGAACACATTAAAA